TATCGAGAAAGTATTGCCACTATATTACTTTAATTTATTCTCTTCAGATCATAAACTTGGGTTTAACAACGATCATGTATTACTGTGTGTAGATTCTTTCTTAAAAAGAAGCTCGCCTTTTTCCCCAATTTTTGATAATAATCATGTCAATGTTCTCATTACCACACATTCTTCGCTTCAATGAGCGTCTTCCGGCCCATCAAATGCAAAAGTGCGGACGCAGCAGGGAACCACATTTCGGAACTGACTTCTTCCAGGCAGAAAAATAATAATACAAGAATCTATTGTAACACAATTGCATTGTGTACAATTAATCGCCTTGAATGAACATTTTAATGGATGTAATATTTATCTCTATCCCCAAAAACTTATTTCTGAATAATTTGTTTTCGAAATTATTTTGATGTAACGTAATATGTTTCTCGCTGGTATAACCGACACCGTTTTCGGACGCGTTGATGATTTAACAAATCTCATTGAGAATTCAACCAAGTCCTCCGAGATAATGAGAGACCACGCGGAAGGAAGATGCGCCGGGCGAGACGGAGAGAGAAAAGGGGGACTCATACACTCTCGCGGATACGCGCGTGTCCTGGATCAAGGATGCAAATATGGCATAGTATCCTGCGCTGTGTGTCTCGCTCGCGTTTGGATATATACCTCTACCTAGACAGTAATATTGGTAGGTAATTCAAGCGAGGTAGGTTGAGCCGCACCCTGTTCCTCAAGCATCCACCGAAAGACCTCCGTCGTGGACACTCGTGGCGTGGCTGCGTGTGCGTGCGGCACTCGCGCGCGCGCGCGCGTACGCATTGCACACACGCATTGCACACGCATATACACGCACGAGTATCTCCGGATACTCCTTATAACGTCTCGTACGGGAATGGTACTAACGTGCATGCATACACTCTGGACCCGCGAACGAGCTCGACGAGGGTCTGAGATGCGAGGTGAACGTCCCCCACAATATCTAAAATCTGTGCGCCCGCGTGAGCGCGCGAGCGCACGCGAGCGCGCGTGAACGCGTGCGTGCGTGCGTGCATCATCGCTTCGTACAGTCGTGCTCCATCTCACGTGAAACTTGACGGTGTGCCGACTTGTGGTCGTACGCGCTCTCCGTGCGTGGACCCACATAAACGGCCGCGTGTGTTGGTGCAGCGAGAGCGCACGGTTTGTCTCTACCTCTCTTTCTCTCGCGCTCCTCTCCTTTCTCTCCTCATCGTGTCCACGGCCATAGGTGGTAGAACGAGCCTGTCCAGTTTTCCCATGGGAACAATACCCCACGGGATATATAATAACAATGGTCACGAGCGTGGGAGACGGGTCGATCTTTATTTACCCGTTCGTTTTTCGTTTTCTTCCACGTTCCATCGCTGGTCCTTTTTGTCTCACTGTCCTCCCTCTTCTTCGCTCTCTTTCTCTCTCTCTTCCCTTGTTTTTCTTCATTCCTTCTTACGCACCGTTTCTCTACTTATTTCTTGTTTCTCGCCTCCTCTCTCTCTCCCCCTCCCGTCCTTCCACTCTTACTCGCACTCGTGATTCTCGTCTCCGCGCGCGAAATTATGATTCCACGCTTTTTAGATTCACGCGGATCTTCATAATTTTCTCTCTCTCCGCTATCCTTCCTCGCTCTTCATGAATCTCTTTCTCTTTAGCACTCCCTTTGAGGAGGTAGGGCACGTGAATGTGGGAGGGATGGTTTCCGGTCGCCCACGTGCCCCCGTGACGACCACTTCGTCGAGGTATCGGGAAATCGAGTAAAACGCACTCTCGCGAATATCTCTCGCAAAAAGTTACTGATATATACGCGATTAAGCCATTAGAATATTAGCAGAGAGAGAGAGTTTACTCGATCCCGATAACGTTAGATCAAGGAAGTTTGACCGTACAATCGCTTAGTTCGCCAACGATATAATTTATTAACATCCCTAAACTCAAAAAATATATATTTCATTTTCTGTTAGTCGTGAATCTACCTTTTCCTGTACAAAAATCAATTTTCGGATTTAAGAACCTTTTCACTTAATTCTGACTCCCGAGCGGCAAAGGTATGAAGCGAGACGAAGCGGAAGAGGCTCCTTTGAGGAACGCGCGTGAAAAGTACACAGTCGTAAAGTTATGTTATGAAATTAAATATTTTGTCTGCATTCGTGCGTGCAACCAGGTAAATTTGCTTTCTTGAATTAGACAAATTTCAGCGCGCGCGCGCGGAGATACGCAAATATTAGACCCCCATCGCGCCCCACTACGGTAGCGGGTTGTTGCGCCAGACTTTACCGCTCCTAAGCTCTATCTATACACCTGAATCGAGAGGATTTTCACAACGATCGCCGGCCCCGCGAGATGAGAGAAAAGGAGAGAGAGAGAGAGAGAGGAGAGAGAAGGAGAGAGCCCCGACTAGATTGTCGCGTGGGCGACCGGAAACCGTACCTTCCTACCGTCTTTGGTCGTCACTCGACGGCTCTCCGCTCGAGGGAGGGGAAGTGAAGAGAAGGAGAAGGCAGACCGGTCAAGAACTCGCCATATTCTTCGACGTTCTTCTGCCGATACATCGGCCGTACGCACGGGCGGATCTCCGCGGGGCCAAACGCGCGCCGAGAATACAACGTACGAAAAATCCTTGGGGGTGGAGTGGGGTGGGGAGGGAACATTCTTCATTTTATTATTATTTTTTAATAATACGAGATATGATTATGGCAAAGGTTGCGGCGCGTTGTTCCAAAATACGATCGCGTATCGCTTGGGCCGTGTATAAATAAATATTGGCGCGCGCATCGTTTCTGATCATTTTCAAATTTTCGAACCCCTTCCGCCCGCCCCGGCTACCGGCGACGCGGCGCGACGGATCGAGAGGCGGATTGAGAAACGAGCCGGGATTAACGGGCCGGCCGCGCAGATCGGCGGAACCAATGATATGACGAAAGAAGCGAAGGATATCGCGCTTATCCTCAAATGGTAGAGAGGTGATGACCTCGATCCTACGTTCGCGCGCGTTGCGAACGCGCTGCGCGGCGCGACGTCGCGCCACATGCATATCGTTCCCCGTTCCTCTCCCCCCCCCCCCCCCCCCCCCCCCGCTTCGTGTTTCCCGTTCCTCTGCGCCGCGTTACCGCCTGTTTTCTGCTCCGGCCCGATCTGACTGAACGCGCTCTCGACCGGCCTGCCCACACAGCACACGCGCCCGCCGCGCGCGCCTGCCCTTCTGTCAATTATATTTACTATTTCATTCATACGCCGCCGACTCTTGGTTCACGGGCCGTGCCCATTCACTAGAACAACCGCTCGCGCGCGCACGCGCGGCAAAACTCGCTAGGGACGGGGCCGCGATTTATCTGATAATCTCTTTCCCCTCTTTCTCCGCGTGAAAACTCGTTTTCTTTCGGTAATAATCTCCTTTCATCGTTGACGGTTTCTTTAATTTCAAGGCGACGTACATATTTTCGATAATTTTAAGTTATATATTTAATCTTATGCGCGATTCTTATGTGCGACTTTATTTTGAAATCGTCTAAAGTGGGCTTAGCTTCAAATTGAAATTTTATTATATATAAAGGATTTCGTTATTTACTTAGGTCTCCTCTTTTCTCTCTCGATTATTTATGACTCGAAAACTAATGTCATAATATTCTTACTTAAAAAAAATCGATTTAGATGTATCGAAGATTATACGATTAAAATTATGGTCATAAATTGTAAGACATTTCTAAGTTACATGATTCTCATATATGGGATAAACTTGCAGATATATTGTAACGCAAAAGTCTATGAAAAAAATTATGAAAATTGCGATTTTTTTTTTATTTAAAATAATTTATAATAATTAATAATTCTTAAGTTATTTATTTATTTCTGCATGTTGTGTATAAAAGTCGATGGCGTAAAAAAAATGTAGCCAAACTACCTGTCACAGTTTCAAACTGTTTTTATTCGAGATAGATGTTTTATTTATTTATTTTGCATTAGCACTCTTAAAATCCTCCATAAAATTCTGAAAAGTGATATTTCTTCCAAGTTTCGGGAGACACATATAATTAAGAAAAATAAGAAATAACTAAACATAATAATTAAAGTTACAATTTGTTTGTTTTGATGAAAATAAAGGTAAAGAAGAAATTATTAAAACGTTGGAATTCCGTCAACAAGATGGCGTAACCTTCCAAGGAAGGAGTTTGCTAGGGGAAAAGTAGTAATATCTAAAATATTTTGAAAACATATTATCTATTGGATATCAAAGTAATGAATTGGATATTGGGCGCAGTATTAATTCGCTATCGAAAGGGATCGATCGTGCCTTCGTGCCTTGTCGTGAAGCTAAAGAAACTTAATTATAGGGCCACGGCATATTAAAGAAAATTAAACAGGAAGACTTTATGTCAATTTCTATCAATACAGGTTAATTGTAAGCTTAGTTTAACTTACTTTCTATTTTTTTTTAGTTCGAGAGTTAGAAAAAATAAAAAGTAAGTTAACCCGAGATTAAAATTAATCTAATGTGATAAAAATGGACAAGCGGTGAATCGACCAATCATAATCGAAAATTCTCGAGAACGCAAGGCTGCCATTCTGAAACTCCTGGCTATGTGATTGGTCTACTTAAAGTTTTTCTACGTGTGTTACGGCCCTTATTGCATGAATACTCTGGTGAAAACATTTTTCAGATTTTTTCAGAAATTTTGTAAAGAATTGGGATTTATGAAAAATTCTGAAAAAATATATAAAGTTTCTCAGATACTATCAGAAATAATTGGATGAAGATTTTCGGTATCCGTATATATGAAAATTCCTGATAAAAATTGCAATTAATTTTCTCATATTCATATTCAGATTTTTACAAAGATATATTGGCGAAAAATATTTTATTCTTGTTTTGTCCGAGTTTTTCTTAAAAACGTTCCAATTTGTATAAAACATCTGAAAAATTCTGAGCATTCTGAGAAAATCTGAAAATTTTTGTAGAAATTCTGATTAATAATAAAATTCTGATATTTTTCCACCAGAGTATACAGCTGCAGATGATCCTAGGGACATTCTCTGTAACTGCTTCTCACTATAATTAGTGATGGAGACATCCGCCTTGAATCTGGTGAGTCTTGTTTTCCTCACCTAATATATTTTTGTATTGTTTGTATAATATAATTTTATATTACATCTACATGCCAGTTATTCCACGAGTTGAGTAAAAAATAATAATGATTATTTAAATCTCTTAGGAGAGTCGTCGATACACTGTATTTTGTAGAGCTAGAAATGAATTAGACACAACAAAAACACTTTAATATACAGCTGTTATTTTATTAAATAAACAGCGAGGATTAAGAAACTTATTCCTACGTATCTTATTTATTATGAGTCATTCAATTAATGAGATCGATGCTCTCATTCTAAGGCACATGAAAAGCAGAGGAGAGCAGAAGCGCTGTTGCGAGAGGGAAAGTTTGAGGAAGCAGCCAAGTGTCACGAGATTGTGGCTGATCTTCTAACAGAGGCTCATGCACAACTTGAGTCCAGTCTCATTCATGTACGTGCGTCCACTTTATCTCCTCAAAACACATCGAAATTTTTGACACCGACTCACTCGCTCGTCACGTTGGAATCCCTCAATCTACAACGAGACTATCACAAGAGACAGGCAGCTGTTGTCAGGTATGTTACGTGCGTATAATATTTCTAAGTTGCAAATTAGCTGCCTTGCATTACAAACGTTTACATATATGACTTTCCATTATTGTGAGAAATTTTATTTGTTGTTAGAATGAAACAAGCGCAATACGAAGAATACAAGACAACATTAGAGAATCATCAGAAAGATCTTCTCAACAAGCATGCAGCGAGATACAGCGAGAGAGATAATGCGGACCTAAGAATTGACAAGTTCGATGGTTCTTTACGTCAAGCTATATACAAAACTATCGATGAGCAAGACAGTCTTCTGACTTTGATAGATATCAAGCTACCACCTAGTGCTGAAGAGAAAAGTTTCAAACATCCAAAAGACACAGGTACCGTTATAGAAGAGCTCAAAACTGTTAATAGCCAATTGCGATCGCTTGTAGGGAGCTTACTCAGTCAGCTAGAGGCAAAGGAGGAAGAAGTGCGTCAACTGACAGAGCGTCTCTATGCGATGTCTGTCAATTCTAATGACGGTATCAGAGCCGAAGAACACCCTCTGTGTCTTGATCCTTTACCTCCGTTGACACCTCTGGAAATGCCACTTTTCGATTTCTCATCTTCATAAAACACAAGTTATCTAAGATACGCTTCGGAAATATTTGCGAAAGAACTTTAAAGTGAAATTAATATTAACCAATTATATGACTAGTATGACTAGTACTGAAAGTATCATATTTTCAAATATTACTATATTGGAGTGTATGCAATTGTAAATTTTATATAAACAGTATATAGCAAAATGCAACGTGTATTTTTTATGTTGTAAATTTTGACGTAAAGGGTGTTCGTGCAAAAAAAATATGTATATACATATATGTATCTATATATATTTTTTGTTGTGATCCTTTTAAATATATGCTGAAGATCTGTTCAAAAGTTCGGCTGTGTATTGAATCAGCTGTATGGAGTTAATAGTTCTGAAAAAATCAATAATAATAAGCGAAGATTCCTCAGATCATGAGCGGTCGATTTGTAAATAGAAGTTCCGAGCAAGCCGAGTATTATGGGCGGTTGTTTGGTTCTGAGATTGTAATCTTCTGTGATCTATTATTATGCAAATAAAGCTTAAGTTTCAGTTCCAAGTGTTGCAATTATTCTATGTAAGTGCGGGAGGGTCGCGGGGGTGTCGCAAGAAATTAATTCTCTATTTTTTTAAATTTCTATATTGATCTGAATATTCCTAACTTTAACAACAAATCCCAAATAACCAAGATAAATATACAATATCTCCAACAGTATTATTATTATTATTAATATTATTAATATCTCCGACAAATGTCTTTGGATAAAAATTTCACAATGATAACTATAAGGTCTGTATCAGCTTCTTGAACTTTGTGAACGTCCCAATTTGAAGTGGCCAGGGCCTTTCCAGAATTAAAATTGATAATGTATCGGGCGATAAGTAGGCTAAGAGTCTTGCCCCCAGCGAAGATATATATCAAGTTAAAAGATAATCACGTAGACAAATGCTATCTTCAAGATCGTATTACGATCTATCATTACTCAAAAAGAGGTATATTTTTATTTATGCTCTTCTGTTAAGAACCTCCCGTATTGATGCGCTTCTAAATAAATAGTTTGCCGATTTCCTTTTCTCTTTTTTGTTTAAATATATCGCAGATCTCTCGCGAAATTAAATAAGGTCATTTCTTGTCTCGGGTGTAAAGAGCAGACTCCACGTCTGGCAAGTATCGCAAACTTTTGTAAACAGATGTCGGCTTCGGCTTCGTCATAAGATAAATTAAATCATTAAAAGTAGTCATATATTGTGTATATGTATATCTATAGTTGCTTTCCATTTACACTCAAGTGATCTGAGTCACTCGGTTATGTATTTTATACTCAGGTAAGATAAGTCATTTTGTACTTACCTGTTTATTTTGGTGACAAAGCTATCGCATAACAATAGCATATACAGATTCGTAGCCTCACTTTTAATGCGAGTCTATTAGATTCATTAAAGCGCACGGTTTCGATTGTGGATAAAAACTCAGTTGAATCTCACTTGCCAGCATGCAAAAAGAACGTGCATTCAACTGAGTTATGACGCCACAAGTGAGAATTATCTGAGTTTGGATGTAAATGGAGAGCAACTATTATAACGTCGTGTTTTCTGAGTATCTAGAAGCACACGTACGAGATAAACACAAGACGTTTAACATATTTATGAAGATAATTAAACCAGTATTGCCAAATAAATCGTTAAGTTGAGCATGTGATAATTATTGTTGACGCAATAAAAATGTTGTTGCAAATGACTCGGAGTATTTTTCCACGTATAACAACGCGCATGTAACTTATATAAAATTAGTAATCTCTAAACTCATCGAAACTTAATGAGTTTTGACAAAATTTTCCAAATCTTCTTATTACAATTAAGTTTGTCAACTGTAAATTAATAAATTAATAATAATAATAATAATAATTGTTATTATTATTATATGTATTATCCAAATATAACTATATTTATTAGTTGTAAATTAACTAATAGAGCGAAATCAATTTGATCAGAATTAATTTAGCATAAATACTGCTTGCATAAATCTATATATATATTGCCTTCTATTTTGAAAAGCTTCGAAGAATAATATGTCTTTTTATACATTAAAAGTCCTGGGAAACCGATTATTTTTTTATCAAGTCACACCTTTCTGATCGATACTTTACGACGCCAACGTACGCAAAGCTTTCTTATCGAAATTAATCGGAATTAATCGCGTATCACGATCACATGTCGTACTAGTGTACTTATTTACAATGGCACGAGAACGTCACGTGAGTCTCAGCCGTGCGCTCCCCGCGTTATCCACACGCTGCATTTCTTTTTTCTTTATAATATCTCACAACGGGGCCTCGTGTACTAATCACGGCAGCCAGCGCGGCATTACTGTACAAAATTTCCATCGACGTAATCTCAAATGCATATCTAAATTTATCATCTTTATGCGTAATTGCGTAAATTGCTTGAAATGCCTCAAACTTCCATGCCCGACGAAGAAAACATTTAATAAAATATCGATAAGATATATTACTTTCCTGTAAAATTTCCAGACTATCGACGCCCCACAAACATCCGCAACTTTTTTAATCGCAGATCTTTGTTTTATCAACGTGGAATTATTTTATTCGACGAAAATCGTCCAGGAAGCTACATCTTGACTGTAATTGTGACCTTGTGATCAAGCTTTCGAATTAAAACTCTGTCTGATGTGATACTCGGAAATCGGGGCATACACGATTGTGTATTTTCTCCTTTTAGCTGTATCTATTTCGACACGTTATGTACATCTAACACTTCAATGCATAACTTTTGTAACGACGTGCTAGACGGGCTGAAATAAGAGGCGATATCAGGTTGATATCGTGAAAATTGACCTCGTCTGGAAGATAACAAGAAGAATTAAAAAACGGACATACATATTATTGCGAGAACGTAAAAACCATGTACTTGAATAACTGAAAAAATCAAATAGAATTTCAAAGACTCACGTATGTATACTTATGTTATATCTACAGTGAGATATCGCGATAGCAGGTGTGCAATATCTGCCAGACGCTGGATTTAACCGACTGGTGGTTGCAAAAAGATATGGTTCGTTATCGGGCTCGTTTGATATTTTTAGACATTGATACATTCGTACCCCCTCGACTCATTCTTAATGAATATCGGTGGAAAGTTTTCTATGCTATTATTACATATGATGTGTAATTTCATCAGGCTACATTTGCTTCATATCGCCTAACTAAGATCTAATTATCTGAATGACATTGAAAAATAAATCAAAATGACTTAAATTTATATTAAGAGAAAGAATATATCTTGCGTACGATCTACCGATACTTATCTCGACAATTCGTCAAGTAGGTATTACATAATATTAATCGCTTCACTAATGAAGTAGGTGAAGCAAGCTTTCCGTAGTTTTTCGAGGACCACCCCGTGCGATTTATTTTGATATTTTAATCGTTAAACGTATCTTCGAGAATCTAACTTTTACATCTTAAATACGTGCACGTGTACGTAAAATGAATCAAATAAGCATGACGAAAAATGCGGATAAAAAAATGAAATCTTATTCCACATTTTTAAAATAATTATTTTTTTTTAATTACGTTGTCCCGCTTCTGTTGTTCAACTGGCAATAAGTCGACGACCGATGCGGATGCGATACGAAATGACGCAACGCGTTTTGTTTTATTGTTACAGCCGCCTGTCGTTCATGCTGCATTAAACGCGTTTCCCCGCATTATCTCTTCGTGGTTTTACGTCAAGTCTCACGCCGTGCTTTTACAGCTAATCGTCAATTTTGCCGATCGCGCAAATACGGCGACACAGTGTACATAGTCCATAGTTCCGTGCTGCTGCGGATCTTTACCCGCGAATATGCGTCAGCGCTGAGCCTCAGAGTTTATCAATTCCGCTTAAAAGTTGATAAAGACCCTCGAGACACGCGCGCGCGTCGCAATTATCGCACAATCCCCCCCGTTGTCCGCCCCCGGGGGACAAAAATCCTCTTCCCGGCGGAGACGGCGATATAATTGTCGTGAATGACGCGTAAAAGACCCCCCTTTTATGCTGGGCGTGACGTTGTATTTATCGTATATAAAATACCGGTCCGTGAGCGACTCGGGCATCAGTACTGGTCCTCACCTCTGCGCGATCAAATGGGGCACAAATCAAGATCGTAACATAACAACTCTTGCTACTCCACGAAAGCTATCAAGCTTCATTCCAACGATCTAGTCAATACTTGCAGTATATAGACCGCACAAATCCAAGGTAAGTCCTTATTTCATCTCATTGCTAATTTTTGGGACTTTGACGAGTCTGTAGAAACGCCACGGTTGTCTTAACATTTACTAAATACGAGAAACATTCTTTTAACAAACGTATCGCGAGATCACAGAGCTAGATCTATTGGACCTTCATTGATTATATCTGCTTGCTTCTAATATCCTGCGAGACAAAGAGGACGTCGAGCCTTTCTCTGTTTTCACATTCGCTCAGTGAGCGAATGAACAAAGAACGGGAAAAGCTCTCTTTGTCTCTTTGTCTCTTCTTTGTGATGGATATTCAAGTTCTTTTTCCGAAAGATTTTAAATAATTTTACCGTATAAAGGATATTGAATTGTTTCGAATATTATTAGGAACCGAGTATTTTTGAGGATCCTAAAAAATCTTGAAGGAGTTTTGAATGCTTAGAATTTTCTAAGCATTTAAATGTTTCAAATACTTTCGAGAAAATATTTTTTTCGCAAGTGTTTGAAACATACAAAATTCTTAAAACTGGATTTATTATCTATGTTTGTGTATAAAGTTGAGAATAGTTTAAAATAATGATGCAAAATGTTATAAAAGAAGAAAAATATTTCAAAAACGTTCAAGACTTTTAAAATTGAGCGTAATCATTGTAAATATGAAAATCTTGAATCGTTTATAATATTTTTCGACACCAAGAAGATTTTAAACCTCTTGAATATTTCAAAGGTCTCGAACGCGTGTTAAAAATAACAAACATAGTTAATAAATCTGTTTTTAAGAATTTTGAATGTTTCAAACACTTTCGAGAAAAGATTTTCTAAATACTTAAAACTCACAAGACTTTTCAGGATTTTCAACAATACTAATGCACTGCAGAAAGCTTTCCAACAAAGAAACCATTTGTACATACACTTGAGTAGAATTATTACTTATTTTCCATTCTGCAAATATTTGTTCTTCCTTTGATATAAATCTACACGCACACATTATCAATATTCTTTACATTACGAAATCCATCTAACGGAACGATTTTTATTCGCAGATGCTGATCGGTGGAGCTGTTAGCTATGTCGCTGGAAAGCAGGCGGTTCGCACAGTTTATTGGCGAACCGCGAACAACGGGCGTCTTCTGAAGACAGCGAAAACCTGCATGTTTCAAGGACCGCCCAAGCCTGCACGATCGTCAACTGCGGCTTCCTCGGCGTGCCCGGCGCAGTCACACATGAACCTGATACCCAAAGTTGTTTAAAAATTACGACAATGCCGTATACCAACATGAAATACGAATAAATTACTCGTTATACACGGCCAGCTGTACATAAAAAATTGTTAATTATTTAATCTCAAAATGCATATTTATAAATTTATGACGACGCAATAAAGCTATTATTTATTTCTTCCAATAAATCTCGTTGTTATTTAGTTTTTAGTTTTATCCACACACACACACACATATATCTTTAAATATTACACTTGTATAGTTTGGAAATATTACAAGACGATACACACAAATCGCGTTAATTTTAATGATAGATCCTTTGATAAATTTGAAATCAATTTTTCTTCAGCGGCAGTATTAATACCTTCCGAGTTACTAGCAATAGATAAAGAAAGCACGGCTTTCACTTTAGGAGAATAAATCGATGGAAAACTATATTTTGCAAGCATATTTCTTGAATTTCACGTGATCTTGATTGAATAGATTTCTAATTTCTACTTGACTACAACGGTATAAGTACGTTGTATATCAGAGAATTACAACAATGATTTTTCTCGTCAAATAAAAATTTGTTCGAGTTGATCTGTCTTTAAAATTTAGATGCACTTTCTCTCGTCCGGAAATGCGATCATGGATAAAATTTGATAGCTTCCATTCTTCTACTCTTCGAGGGGAGAGAGAAAGGGATGACAGATTGTAGAACAATGAAACTGGAAGAGAAGAAAAAATAGTATCTGCCGAAAGACTAGCCACGTCGATATGGCATTGAGACAATGTCGCGTCGGCAGGGGTAGTAAGAGGGTAAAAGTTACGCCGGCGCAGTAGCACGTATATTGATTTTGGAAGCAAAGCTGCCCCATACAGCCCGACATCGATTCGACCGCGAAGGAGAACCGAGCACCGGTTTGACAGTCGATATAATCGGAGAGTCCAATCCGCGGTGGTTCGACGAAAAGGGTGGAACGGCTGCTGGACGGCGAAGGGATCCCGCGGCGCGTCCTGCCCGTCGCGCGAATGTAACAGGGGGTTGCACGTTCCATCCGGTGGCTGGGGATTCACGCTCGGTCGGGTGAGCCGTGAGTTTCGGTGAGTTCCGCGCGAAAGTTGAGCTCGGAATCATGCAGAACTATGGACACGAGGATTACGATTATGGCGTGTCGAACGACCCGACTGCCCAACCGTCGGGCAGAACTCTCCCCCAAATGCCGGGCGCCAGGCCAAAGGTGGACCCGCAGGCCGAGGGTGAGGTCGATCCTACCATGTACCCCCAACCGAAGGAGGCCACGCACAAGATTCGCGGTAAGAGCGACATCCTGGAGTACCTCTTCGGCACCGTCGACCAGGAACTCCTCACCGTAAAGACCTTCTACTTTTTCTTCTACTCGGCCTTCGGCTCCCTGTTCCCGCTTATGGGGGTGTACTTCAAGCAGATGGGCATGAACGCGGGTCAATGCGGCCTTCTTATCGGTCTCAGGCCGTTCATCGAATTCATGAGCGCTCCTTTCTGGGGCTCCTTGGCCGACAGGTGAGACCGTGTTCCTTTCTTCGAAATGTGTGCACGTTAGCCTAATGAATCGAAAGATTATATCGTGGTCGTTGGACTATGGCACTATGATGCGTTGTCTAGCGGAAGAGATAGCAGTAGGGATCATTTTGTGATGATTCAGATTAACGATAAATCCAAGCTAAGGAAGCTGCCTTATCAATTTGAGGTCATTATTTTTTAACAATTTAGGATCCGCAGATGATGTTTATCACGCGTGATCTTTGCTCGATACGCAACAGATACGTATATATTAATTTTATTTTTTTTTCATTATGCGATAAAATTTATTAAAATAAAATAATAATAAAATCAAAGATTGGCAAAAGGAAATATAATCTGCGTACTTATAATACTTCTATATATTTCATTCGAAAAAGAATATTTAACGTTCTAAAACGGATGATTTACAATCGCTCTTAAAAATTATTTCATTTGCAATATCTTACTCGAGATAATGAAATTTCGTTTAAATGATAGCCGAAGCTGTTATCTTTCTAGCGATACAAAATACATATATATTTTTAGTGGTATTATCGTAATTTTTAATAAAGCCAGCGACACCTGCTAAAAATTAAAACAAAGTTTTACAATTGTCTAACACAAATTAGAAAATACAGCAAGATTAATTAAAAAAAAAAAACATAAGGGACTTAGAAACAGTTTTTCTTCGGTAACCGTAAACACAAATTTATCAAATCCATGAGATTTTTTGTCTGCCGAGCAAGAATTCTTATCACTTAGCTATCCGGAGCATAATAAGGCCAGGGACACGCGAAAAAACTGATCAATCTGTATGCAGCGAGCCATTTGACTAGCATTTTCTTCTTATTTGCCTTTTTGAGAATATTTACATTCGAAAATGAAAGGAAGATGGAACAATAAGTGAACTTTTACATTTCTTTCCATTTGTCCGTAGATGGCAAAAAGGCAAACTTCTTCTATTGGCTTCCCTTTCTTGCTGGATCATTTTCACTCTACCGTTGGGCTTCATTCAGCCTCCGCCCACCTCTTGCGTGGTCAGCAATGACAGTTCTTATTATCTCGAGGCGTCCAACAAGGAACAAAGAATTGTAAAAAGATCGACCAACCTGGATGAATTGTACTATCCCAAGAACAAAGAGGAGTATCTGGAGGTCGCGTCCAACGTCGTCTTCGAGAGATTACGACGAAGTACGGACGATAACGAGATACTTGACTATATGAAGAAACCGAAGGAATTTGGATTTTACGATATTGAGAGAAACGATGTTATAGATTTCGATAATGATGGCTCTACTATGTACGATCTGAGAAATAATAGAGTCAGGAGACAGACATCCGTCACGGATAAGGGCGATGTAGAAAATCTTGGATACAAGTCACTGTCCGAAAGCAATGTCGACGATGCAGGGGGGATCGATTTTGAAACGTTGCAAAGGAAAAATCGTCCAGCCGATGTGTCGGAGTACAAACGCTTCATGATGGTACAAACGCTTGTGCCTTTTTTTTATACATGATAAAATTTACAATATGTATCTGAATTCACTGGTCTATCAGATTCTGCCATAAAAAGTTGCGTGTTCTGCTTTAAAAAATTATGATTGATTTAATTATAAAATTTCAGATATTTCCTATCGTGTATTCTTTGCTAATATTACATAATAAAGTTACACAATTATATATACATTAATAAATGTGTTTCTTTTGTAGAATGAACCAATGACTGACAGAACAGTTCCAAAGAAGGCTTACGTTCGCACCAAAACGCGCGTGAAACCACCGCCGGAGAAGATAATGGTAAAACGAGACGTAAATAAGAGGCAAACATTCTCGGACGAGGGTGACAATGAAAAGGAAAACAAAAGAAACATGGATATATTAATAAGGAGTCGCAGGAGCTTAAGATCGCACGGGGGAGAGTTATCTCCTCAGTCAGTTAGTAACGCCTTGAATTATAACGAAAGAGAGAATAAAGAATGGGTGAAGCCACTTTTCAGTTCTATAGTCTACAGACTGCCGGTAAGTCACACAAGCCTGGCCGATTTTATTATGCTTTAAAAAACTATAATTTGCCATCTGTAAAATACAGAGTATACATATATTTAATGTAGTAAGAAAGAGATTTGTAGGCAGAAAAATAATAATTTAACATATTGACTGTGATTTTAGGATATTCAAAAAACATTCTTCCTTCTGCTGTTGCTGGTAGTAGTCGGTGAATTTTTTTCGGCACCTGCCATAACATTAGCCGATTCAGCTGTTATTACTTTACTCGGTGAAGACGCCGATAGGTAATATAATCAGTATACCGTTTAAAGAACAATGAAGCAATTTTACTTTTTTACAATTAGGCACTTTCGAGGCTAATTTTTTTACTTACGTTACTTCGAGAAGTTAATAAATTATTTCAAATAAACACATCCGATTGCTCGTCCAACTCCAATTTGCATTTGGTGATCGTAAAGTTAATCAATTTAACCACCAGGTACGGTCATCAACGCATGTTTGGAAGTCTCGGATGGGGCTTGGCCATGTTCTTCGTCGGAATCGCTCTCGATCATAGCACCGCATTTCCGGATCATCCCTGTAGGCCTGACGAGAGAGAAAAAAATTACACGATTTGTTTTGCGATATTCAGCGTCTTAATGGGTGCCGCGTTGATAACGGCAACTCAAATTAATTTCAAGTATGACTTTGCTCCCGCTGAGCCGGTAAGTCCACTTCAATATCTATAATCTATAGATCTATAGGATAAAATACCGCTGCTTCAAAATTGTATTAAAGAATCACTACAGGGGGGGGGGGATTGAAACGTATTTTTCGTAAATATTTCTCACGTAATAGATTTCTTAAACTTTCTTCTTTTTACTCTTCTTCTGTAATCAGAAATTTCAATTGCTACAGAAAGAAATGATATTTAAATCAACTATCTATGGACTTTATTGAAATTTTATTAATTATATTTCATATGTAGGAGGTGGCGAAACCTCCAGCCGAGCCAACGCGGGAAGAGCAACTGCAAAGCCAGTTATCCCAGCAGCTTAATCTGCCTGGGCTCCAGGATTCCTCCGCCGCTGTAGATCCTAAGCCTCCGCCTCCCGAAGGGAAGGTGCGTATCTATTTTTTATCAAGACGTTTATAAATAGAAAACTCTTATTATGTTACATTTATTAATAAACAAAGTGGGTGAAAACCGAGGGGTGAAAACGACATGTTTTTCCTGTTTATTTATCGATCGTGTGTGTACGTGTGCGCTGTTACGTAAAGCAATCTTATAAATTATTAGCATTACAAATAATGTCACGCTCTAATGAGTCACTTTCTAATTTTAGACTAAAATGTTCGCCCAAACGATGAAGGAAATACCGGAATGGCTGGCAGTAATAAAGCAATTCAAGAATTTAAAATGCGCGTCGTTCCTCTTCGTCGCGTGGTTCATGGGATTTGGCATTGGATTGATCTTCACTTTCCTATTCTGGCATCTTCAGGATTACGGTGGTTCGCCGACTCTATTCGGCGTTGCGTCTGTGATCAATCATATATCCGAGATCTTCGCGTATTTCTTCAGTTTCAAACTTATTCGACAGATTGGACACGTTAAGGTAAAACGAATCTTGCGAGATTAATCTCTTCAAAATATTAGTAAGCTATGTTGGAACTGCGTAATAACTAATTAAATTTTAATTATAAAATTACACGTTGGTATGATTTCTTTGCGGATTTTTTCAACAAGTTAGGAAAACCTTTTCGAAGAACGATTGCGCAATTTTAATCACGAAACTATGTTAATAGTTGACACATTTTTAACTAACAATTAATGTAATATCACTTTTACAACAAGAAATAAGAGAAAAATATACTGAGCGCCTCTCTTATTTTCCACGCTCTGTTAATTATAAATTATGTATTTATCATATTTATAATATTAAATAATTATAACGTATTTCAGGTATTGTGTCTGGGCCTGGGCGGAAATATACTCCGATTCCTCTACATATCTTGGCTGAAAAACCCATGGTGGGTATTACCCTTTGAATTCATTCAGGGTATCACACACGCGGCGGTATGGGCGGCGTGCTGCAGTTACATCGCTCATAATACGCCGCCGCAATTGCGTTCGAGCGCGCAGGGTGTACTTCAGGGACTTCACCATGGGCTTGGAAGAGGCTGCGGTGCGGTAATTGGTGGCATGTTCGTCGCGGCTTACGGTAAGCTTTTAACATTCAATGCATCGAGATAAGAATATGTACAGCTCTTCACAAACAATTGATTCGATACTCAAACGATCTCAGACTTGTATAATGTTGGCTTTTTCACATATTATAAATTAAGCATTTGTGAAATTTCTATCACACAATAATGTTGTATTAATTTGTGACAATATTCATCGGACAGCAATCGTCGAATTTGTTTTGCAGGTACGACTGCGACTTTCCGAGTGTACGGTCTCATCTGCATCTTTGTCCTACTAGCCTTCATGTTCATCAATTTCTATAGAAAGGATACCGGGTTCGTATCCGAGCTGCCACAAACGGAAGATCCGCACCAGGTAGCCGAGGCTACCCATTTGGCACCGCACGGTGTACCGAGCAACGCTATACCGCGTGCCCTAAGTTCCACTCGCTTGCACGAACTGGCTAATCAGGATGCTGGCTATGGGGCGACTTATCAGACCGCTGGCGGAAATCTCGCGGTACCCGGTGCTAACGGAGGTGAGAAATTCCATTTGGAAAAGCAGAGATTTTTCCGATTTTTTTTTCTCTAGACCAATTACTTTGAACCTAACTTTCTATTGGCTTTATCGTCTAATTTTTTTTTAATTTCTCATCGACTCGCAGGCCCTGGCAACCCAACGAATCCGTTCTTAAACGGCGGAGGTGGCGGCGAAGGGGGATATAATTACGGTATGACTGGCAAGGGGGAGGACGAGTATATTCGTAGGAGCTTCCAGGTTCAGTAAAACCATTCTCATTAAAACGTCCGGCAAAGAGAGAGGACGCAATATTTCAGTCGATAAGAGAAAAAAAAATAACAAACAAACAGACAGACAAACAAAATGAAACAAAAACGGAGGAAGAACGCTGTCGGCTTTATTGGCCGCATCTTTTACGAGAGGCTACACACTCGCTGAACAAGAAATCCTATCTATACTTTGCTACGAGAACAAATTAATATATTCCAAATGGTATTACATTACATAGAGAAAATTGATGACATATACTTTCCTGTTTGATAGATCTACAGTGAAGTGGTGGGTAGGGAATTCGATGTCGTAAAACCGACTATCCAACTACACGCCCAACAACCATGCACCAATCCCTTTCATCAACACGACTACGACTGGTAACGACTCGATCTGTCGATGCCGCGGGTTGTTCCCCACGACTACGATATACTGAAATGTGAACGCTTGAGAAGACATTACTGAACAAATAGTAACGTAAATATAAATATCCATACAGATACGTATGCGTGCATAGGAATCCACGTGCAAAGCCACCTGTAATACATATAATAAGATTAACGAACTTTACAACTCGGATTTAAACTTAATCGTACTTAAAGTCTTTAACTTAGAGTCGCCGGTACGTCGTGGAGGGTCATTCGTTATGAGATTTATAATATTTTCAAGATCAAACATTATGACGATCTTTTGTAATTTGAACAGTCGCTGAACATTGTAGGTTGCGAAAAAATTGACCTCGAATTTTCGAACCAAAGGATGTATCGTTCAGGATTCATGCGCCTTCCTATCTAACATATGTACATGTGCGTGCGTTGTACGTGGAAACGTGACACGCATACGTGCGGCGTACGTATACATGGACGTGCGTGCGGTCGTTTTTACGCCGCCGTTGTATGGTATGTATCGAGATGTACGTTGTGATAAAATATCTACGGACGAGCGAAAAAGGAAAAGTGAATCGACGCTTCTAAACCCATTCAGTAGATCTGCGAAATCTTGACGACAGCCTTATCGCCGTCCCCCTCTTTACTTACTCGTCCTGCGATCCATTTTTTGTTCACTATATATTATTTGTTGCTTCCTTCTGACTCTCTAAACGGATGTTCACGAGTCGAGGGTATCAGGGAATTAGTGGTAAGACTAAATCCAAATTAATCGAAAGTGCCTATCGAAAGTTTCCTGATGCCCTGTGCGACACGTTACTTCTATTTCTGCCTGACGATTCTTTTTACCTTCCCGTATGTACGATTAAGAAGGAAAAATAATCTCATTGATGAATGTCGAATTTATTAGTTCGAATAGACCTTTTGGATGTCATGTGGAATCATGTTAAGAGCCGCGAGGCGACAGGATACTTTCTATTATATATATATAGATATTCTCGCGAATATTTATTTCTCAAATATCCAGAATATCAGAACATCTAGAATATTATTCTATATATAATATTAAATATTAAAAGATATATATGTATCAGAAATGTCACTAATAGAGGTTTTAGCGCGCTGTTAATTTTCTTAGAGTTTTATCAAGTTTAAGTCCTCGAAGTTCTCTTAGGCTAATTGATTGTTTTTGTTTAGGCTGTATTTTTTAATGACGTTTGTACGAAAACAGAAGCCAGTTATGTTATTATATAATTGTTTTTACCATACATGTTATAGATTTCATAAATACCGGTTGCGTTTTGTGGTAACATTCAAATAGCGATTGGTGTTTGCACTACAGCGAAATAGCTATACGTCGCACTCACTTTGAAAAAGCCATTCAAATGCCACCCAAAGCGGTGGTGGTCGTTAAGAAAATGTAACATACACGATTTAACAAATCGTGAGATTTCATCTAGGCGAGACGTGTCTAAATCGGCGGAAACCGAAGATAGAAAATTAATATACAAAAGAAACTAGGAGGCCTGCAAGATTTGATACGACAAATATAAGTATCGTAGCAGATCCATTGATCTCATCGATAATTTAAACGGTAATTTAAAAGAGAACGTGTACGAGCTAAATTAATTAAAGAGACAATTTGTGTCACCTGTAAATATTCTACATGCTCTTAAGTATAGACTCTACTATTCACTTGTTTTCACTTGTTTTCTGTTTTCAAACAGATTGTTGATCGTTATTTACAATCCACGTTACGATTATCCGCATTAACTTCTTAAGATCTATTAAATGAGCTTTATCTATTAAATACTTTTATTGTATGTATAAGGTATATGTTGTGTGAGAAAACTGTATAATACTGTTGAAAAAGAAAAACGAAAAAATTAGTAGTAAAATATATATACAAACATATATACATATAAAGATTGTAGCAGCACGATTTTATCTACTACCGAGGCCGGGAATACGAGAGTCGCCTTCTATTTCACGCGCGCTTCTACCGGGGGACTCGCTATTATTCGAGGCACAAGAACAAATAGAAGTATGCAATGTATCACTACTCTTTTAATTCGAATATTATTCCGGGAATACCTCTGCAAAAGAATCATACGTATACTGTATACGTAGTGCCTCGCAAACCGTATGTTAACCGATAACAAAGTTCCGACTAAGAGATGAATGTTAGTAACATTTTTGGCAATCTTATTTTTTTTTTCGAGTTGTCGAAAACCTTGTTCTCGTTTGGAGAACGAACGATTTGCCATCTTCTCGACGGATAAAGTACGGTCTGCGAAACACCGGAGGAGTGTAACGCCATAAGTGATATTTCTTGTATCGGTAATCACACACATCGATGTTTTGTGGACAGCCAGATTATACCATGTTATAAAGACTGAAATATAAAATGTCTTACGCACGTAGCAACCGATTCAAGAAGGCACTATGGACACGCGTGTGTGCGTATTTGTATTATAAATTATATATAGTCACAATTATATATATATACAGATAATATATATATATAATGTAATGTACGATGAATATCCGACTGTGTATCGTGTATGTTAGCAGGGACGTTATACCAATTAGATTCGTACCACGAAGATAATCTGCTCTTACATTATACTTCTGGATATCTTATGGAGTTGCTAGCTCATCCATATTATGCGCGTTAAAGCGGTCTTTCATTAGACGTATTGATTTTTTTCATATGTTTAACACACGTTACGTTGTTGACAGTTGAATCATGTTAGTATCTCAGATATCTCTCCGATTAGACTTTTAACTGGATCGATTTCAGTTGGAATAGAACTGTAACTTATATTAAGTTGCGATGTAACATAACTTCGCGAAAGATTTCCTTCGAGTTTCCCTGAATTGTCGTAGTGGTACTTATACATACGTTAAGTATATGCTTGAAACTCAATATTGTAACAATTTTTACCCCGCAACTCATCCGAAGATATAAATGATGCTGCCACCGCGGCGACGTAAATCATAGCGCACCAAACTATAGATCTTCTAACACACGTCTCTAACCGAAGTCAGTTTTAATGTCATCGTAGAAATTGTGTAAGGGAAAACAGACATATGTATAAAGAAAAGGAGCTGTAAGTATTATTGTAATCCCTTTTCTCGGGGAACACAGCAAAAAAAAAAAAAAGAAGACAGACAAATTCTCGAGAAGAATGGCGAACGCAGGAAGTGCGTGAGGGTTTATATGTCACAACATATCATGAAACATCGTGCGTAGACTTAGTGTAGCAAATGTCATGTGCTTACGATTAAGAACAGTTTCACTTGCACTTAGAACCGATTTTTATTCCATCCCGTCTGCCGTTATATTTTTTATTAATCTTCCCCTTTAATTCGCTGATTAATCCTTGCGTTTTCGAATTAATTACTCGCGTCCCCGACCGATGCGAAATAATTAACGATTACCTAATACGATTCTATAAAATTGTTCTTGGAATAAGAAGCCATATGTGTGAGATATCAATAAGTCAGTCTTTGTTTTTTCCATGCTTTCGCTTCATCTCAGAATACTTGATTGTGCGATTTAGCGAAATCTCGTCGCCTTTCACGATTCAAATTTGAAGATCATCTCTTCCTTAAATTTTAGATTAATATACATTTGCGGAATTGTTACACACACATATACATGCAAAGTAAAACAATATCTGTGTGCAATATCTGTCTCCAAATCTTTCTAATATACTGCATATTATATTAAAATTTGAATAAACGGTATATCAGGTTGTATCAAGATTCCCGAAACGTCTTAGGTCAAAATAATATTCGTCCGTCATAACAATTCAACAATAATTAAATAATCTTCTATAATAATTGCACAGCAAATTGCAATGACTGCACGGAGAAAATTTTATGTTAAATTTTACTATGCTGCCGCACCAACTGCGGACCATCAAGACGCCCAAGTTTAAATGCTATAGTCTTATAGTAAAATTACTATGTCCGTAGCATTTAATGCTACGATCATAGCATTCAATGCTATAATAATGCTATGATCGTATCACTAAATGCTATGGACATAGTAGTTTTACTATAAGACTATAGCATTTAAACTTGAGCGTCTTGATGGTCCGCAGTTGGTGCGGCAGCATAGTAAAATTTAACATAAAATTTTCTCCGTGTGGATAAAATTATCTGGAAAAATTTTTGGGATACTATCTAAAATCTAATTTCTTTTAATTGAAGAATGGGGGAAACCAAAAGCAGCGTGCGCCTTGTTTTGTAATGTAACATCACGCAGGCGCGAATGGAGAGACGGAGAAGGACATAGGAATGATAGGATTTCCGTCCCTTTCTTTAGCCGAAAGAGCAATGGCGTCACGAAAATCAGTACGGTCTAATGTCTATTTATGTATTTTATCTAATATGTATTAAGCACGAGTATTAATACGATACTTCGAAATATGGCAACGATATGATGTAACTAATCAGATGCTTTCAATCCTTCATCTAAATATCCACCTTACATTTGTTTTGCTTCGTATGAAAATTAGCGACACGAAGAATAGGAATTCGCGCGAGAACGAGATAACGAAGAAAGCATGAAATATATCAATATAGCACCAAAAGTAAATTGTATGTATATATTAAAGCTTATATTCTGGACGCACTTTTTTAACAATAAATGCGCACATTTATCGATAAAAGTACGTTCGGAATACTGGCCTACTACTTTACTCTTGGTGTTATCGATTGTCGATTCCTACCAGCAGTATTTCTAATCTTGCAAAGAATGTCAGTTTAACTCTCACTCCACTAGAAGCGGGAGAGATGATCGCCTCGATATGACAGATAAACGGTAAAAACCTAGGTTCTGGAGTAAACCCGTCGTTAGTTAATCCAATTCCAATTGGTAAAGAAGTTTCGAGTAAGAACAAAGGAAATTTTACCTGAGAAAAAAAAATTTGAAAAGTTAGGAAATATTCTTACTCGAATGTACGTTTAAACCGATTTTAAGAGAGCGTAAAAACGATTATTTTCATCAGGAGCACTCTTGACAAATTTGCGAATAGTACGAAAGTTAGAGTTCCTATAGGAATTCCATCAATGCCTCCTTTTCTCCCTCTTTTCTTTTTTTTTTTTTACTAATACCCTAGCCCTAGCCGTAGGCCCTAGAGCATAATTATTTCCGAAGGCATACTCTAGAATTTTCACCAACTTGGTTGTTGCTCTCCCTAGAAAATTTACGAATAGCAAGTTGCTCCCTTCTCCCTTCCTCTTTTGTACTTTTACCCAATACCTGAAAGCGTCATTCATATCTGTAATTTAAACGGACGAATGCAGTAAGACTTACTAATAACTTTCACATTCCGGAGGCCCTCCAAGGACCTTGGCAACCGAAAAACCTATAGCACGTGTTATTACCTTTCAGTTAGTTTTCAGAATGCACTAAGAATGCAATCGAAGAGAAAGACCGTCGAATATCTTATCTTCAAAAAGGACCGTTTCTTTTAAGAGTACGCTTCACTCGTGGCTTCGGAGTCTCCTTGAACACTCCTGAGGCGTGAGAATTGTACCTGGGCTGCTATTGAAACGAGCGTCTGTTTAGAAATAAAGGTGGAATAGATCGGTGTTTACATTGCTCATCGGTATCCTGTCCGGTATACATGCGCGGTAGAATACAGCATGACCGGCATTGCTCGTAGATGAGCGTGCGACGGTGAACGTGTCGGTCGGGGGAGTGCGGTCCGTAACAGTAGCGGCAAATTGATGTGATTTTTTTTACAAATCCCGGGCGCGTCGTAGGCGATATCGAATCGTATCAATTTGCCGTTATCGTTATCGCGCGAGCAGTAACCTTTTTTTTTTAAATTAATGTAAGATAAACAAACCGTATTGTGTTGAGTGAGACGCTTCGTTCGTAAAGTCTGAGTTTTGAGATTTTTGTTTCCCCTTTCACCCTGCGCGCGTGCCCGCGCGAGGCAATGATCGTTCGCGACTCGGGCGTTTGTGAGATGAGTGCCGCACAACTTGTACGGCATCAGGATCTCTATGAAATCGTCATCACGATAACGCGCATAGCGGTGCAACGCTCGACGCGCCTTTACCGCGTGTGCAATGTCACGTGGCGTGCCCAACTCTGCAGCCTCCCGCGAAGGGGCCTCCTGCAGAAGCTGCGCTACCTGATCAATCACCTGGACCTCAGGACGATTGTCAAGTGCTTCAATCGGGGATTGTTCGCCGACGATCCGGACATCCTCTACATCGGATACAACGAGATCGTGCGACGCGGCGTGCGCGACTCCCTATACGTTGAGGCTGTAGTGAAGAAATACGAGAACTTGCAAGGTAAGGAAGAAATTTCTTTTCATAACATACAGGAGTTAAAAAATGGAATAATAGTAATTAAAAAAGCGCAATGTGATATTCTAATCTGGAATTTAAGTCTGAAATTGTTTCATTATATTATAATTATTTAATTTAGTTTGTTTTGTTGTATTAAAATTACTTAATTTCGGATATTTTGTAACAATGATAATTATCGTTGAAGTGGCTCATTTGTTATTGTTATAAAAACATAACTAACAAAGATATCGTTAATCGTACTATTCCCATCGCGCTCTCTTAATTTTTAACACGTCGCGACTCGGCAAGGTGATTAACGAATCGGAAGGAGCAAAGTAAGTTAAAAACAAAGAAAATTCGTTCCTTATTAAAAAAAAAAACATGCATGAGAGTCCCAAAAGTCCTTCCGGATAATAACGCTACATCAAAAGCATAGAAACTGTAGAAGAAACGGTTTTTCAGCCCTCGTCGAATCGTTACGAAAATTTTCAACAATTAATAAGCTCGACATTGTGAAATCGAACGATATCGAAAGCACACCCTCCCCCTTTCTTCTATCTTGAACGCCACGTTGCAGCGCGACGCCTCCA